TCCTTGTTCTTCATAGGTACAGTGAGCAAAAGGATATGGTGTCTATGATCCACTGTGATGCTAAAGCACAGCAAGGACAAGGAGGTCAAGCAACAGGATACAAAACAGAGAGACAGTGGCAGGACAAGGAGGCAGGAAAAAAAATTGAATAGAGTAGCCTGCCTTTTTTTGAAGGAATTGCATCAATTTCTACAAGTATATACAGCTGAGAAAAATAATTTTCACTGCAATTTACTTGAAATTAGTAAATCCCTTAAGTACATTACGAATGGGATCATTTAGAGAACTTTCAAAAAAGCAGAACAGGACCCATATGGGTCAAATGAAGACAACAGGCACATGGCAGAACTAAGACTTTATCTTCTATGCTATGCCACAGAGCAAGCGAATGCTCCTGTACAATTCTATGATCTTGGAAGCAAAAACACATTTCCTGGCATTTACTTGACAGTGTCACAGCTTCCAAGTTCTGTAGAAGTTCTCACTAATGTCAGAAAGGGACTTCAAACAGCAGAAATAGCAACTGTCACAAAACTATACACAAGCTATGGCTGAGGCAGACTACCTAAAATACATTTTGGCTTCCTTTTACCAGATGGTTGAGCCTGCTTGAAAGCAAAACAAAATTGCTAAGCAGCATTATATCTTCATTAGTTTTCCTCAACTAAGTCCTGAAACTGACTGGTTTTGTTACAGACAAACAAATACAAAGTTCAGTTATTAACCAGAAGTATTACTTTTCCTCAAGTACCATACCATAGTTTTACCAAATTTTGGTGCTTTTTTTTTTCTTTTTCCCTGTAGAGACTGCAGAGTTTTACACTAAAACTTGCATCAGCTAAGCAGAAGAGATGTATCCTTTTGGCAGGCTAATTTCAACTTTATCATGTTTTGACAAATACATGCTTTGTTCTGCTGACATTAAAACCCATTACATTGTTTTACAGAGCACTCCAAACAAAATCATATGAAATATAAATGTTTTATTTAGGACTGTTCCTGAGGCTGGCAAAGCTCCTTTCTATTTGGAGAGTGTTCTGCCTGCCAAGTGAGTCTAGACTTTTATTTTCTGTTGCAATTTTCATTTTATCAGAAGCGTTGCTCCATTTTTATATTAATGTTGATTCCAATACATGCCTGTTGCAAAAAATGTACTGGGTACTGCAGGTAGACTGGACCTTAATGCATTTTCTCAGATCTCACTCTGATGTGCATTAAAAAACCCGAATGCATATCTAATTAGTCTAACTAATTTTCAAGTTCCAGTAAGGCAATTACATTTGCTACTGATGCAAATTGTTAAAGCCTAGTTATAGGCTTTAACAAGGCACCACAAAAAGATGAAAAGAAAATATAAGGAACATTCAATAAGAACTCTGAATTGAAGAGTTGATGAAGACAATTGATATACCATTGCTTTCTTTTTTGTTAAAGCAGCAATTAAATAGGATGTATGAAAACCAAAGTTAAAAAAAAAAAAAAAGCAGTTCTCTTAAACATTCAGATAAATCCCTGCTGCAAGCAACCAGTGTGACAATTTTTGAGACCCAGTTTGAGCAACCCAAAACACTACTTTGACTGCAGGAAGCCTGAGTATGTGCAGCATGACTGTGCTTTTCACTTGTTAATGGCACAATTAATTGAGCAAAGGACCAGTGACTGGGTCTCTGTCTCTTAACTGTTACTAGGAAAGGACCACCACCAACCAAGCAGTTCTTATAAAGCAGAATAATGACTTCCTGAACACCCTCTCACCCACGGCCTAACTCAAGAAAGCAAAGCAGGAGTCCTTTAAGTGATGAACTTTCACTACCTGAGCAAGAGTTTTGAGAACAGCTGTGAAAATCACAGGACAGATGGATGTGAAGGCATGAAAGGATTAGCTGCCCATGCTCCTGCTCACAACAGAGACAGAAATATTTTACCATACAGATGGTGAGACCTGAAGAAGTGAACCAAGAATGCAGGGGAATTCACACACAATAGCCATTAAAAGCTGAGGTGGGCAGCCAGATGTTTGTGCACCGCATTTTGGATTAGACTCTTTGTACTCATACTAATCAGTCCAAAAGTAAAATGTGATTAGTTTAGAAAACTTGCAAAAATATGCATTTTAATGGATTGTGCTTGGTGGGGTTTTTTTGTACTTTTGTTTTGTTTTTGTTTTTGTTGTGTTTTGTTTTATTTTAATTTTTATATGTACAAGTGTTAAACTGGAAAGCAGAGTATCACAAGCAGGGTGTTCTGGGATATGGCTCCTTGAAGAATAGAAAAGTGGATGCATATCTTATTTCTATTAGACGAGCAAAGAACCTTTGCCTCTGGCATAAAAAGCATTAATCCAGAGGGCAAAGAAATTGTGCCTGGAATCTACTTAGCCAAGAGGACTTAAAAAATACACACCTCAGCAAGCTACCTAAATACACTGTCTGACAGGTGTCTAACAAGGAGACGTCGTACAAAGCTTTGGAAGAATTGGAACTGCACTATTGAAAACTTGAAATGAGTATTATATAATTTTATCAAATAGTACTTACAGACTAAAAAGATACCCATGAGAGGTGAACCCCCTGAGAACATTAATAATAGTATTCAGAGACAAATCTAAATCAAAAAGCATTTGCAGAATATGTGCTAAATCTGGGAAATTGGGAAATTTAAGGAAGGTTCTCCTGCTCTTCACAAGATTAATACAGACATTGCTATAAAGACATTTTTGAGCCTGAGATTTCATACTAAGCCAAATTTCTAACTTTTAAAAAATGTATGGCAACAGGAGATGTGCTTTAAAGGAATTCAAACACCAAAGTTTTCATTGGCTTATTGCTGCTTTTGGAAGAAGCAGAGAGTTTTTTGACTGATTTTCTACAAATGTTCTATGTTTCAAATGCTGACCTGAATTTTTGCTCTCTGCTAAATGCTAATGTAGATGTCTGCCTTGGAAAATGAAAATCCACAGAACAGGTACCTCTACTGGGGTCAAGCCTTGAAAGACTAACTCAACATGTCAGCTTTTCTTGAGCATAGATCATGGTCTTCAGATATTTCTAGCCCACTAGAGCTCACTTTCTATTGTGCAGTAAGATGGGCGGGCAAATAACAGCTAAAACCAAGAACCACCTCCATTACCTGTGCTACCTTATCAAACCTAAAAATAAAAGACACAAACAGAGGAGCTGGGGAGAGGCAGGAGAACACAGTCCACCTGAGGAAAAGTCACTGAAAAGATGACAGGACCTCACAACAGACTGTTGTGCTTTTCCCTGGAAGAAATACTGACCGAGAGTTAAACCTCAAAAAGTTATACCACCCCCGCCCCCAAACACAAAAAAAAGCCCCCACCAAATCAAAATACATCAGCAGTCTCCGAGGGATACTAGCCCTTGATCTACCTACAGGGATTTGTAAGTTGCACAGTCCAATAAACCAGAACATAAAATGATTAGCAGCAGTGTTAGTTAATTTATTCACTGAAAAACAACTCATGCTGTGTCTCAGGTTTCATAAATAAAGAAAATGTTTATAACTGAATTACAGATGGGTGACTTTGTGGGCTGCACAGGATTGTGGGCAAAGCCCTGACTTCAAGAGTAAGAAATAGTATTTTATAATATAGCTACAGATTCTTCTTTTGAAGTTAAATTCTTCTGAGACATTTTCATGGAGACAGCAAGAGGTATTTTAAGTGCAGTTCATCAGCATCCACAAACCTGGCTGCTGTGCTGCTGCCTGTATGGGTGAACGCAGGATAAATGGAAGGAAGAGGTGCAATATGCAATGGTTGAATGACTAAGGCAGAAAGAAGCACTGGCTTATAGGTTGGATATTAGGAAAAAGTATTTTATGGAAAGAGTGATAAAGTACTGTAATTGTCTGCCTGGGGAGGTGGTGGAGTCACCATCCCTGGATGTGTTTACAAAGATTGGATGTGGCACTCAGTGCCATGGTCTAGTTGAGGTATTAGGGCTGGGTTGGGCTCAAGGATCTTGAAGGTCTCTTCCAACCTCTTCAATTCTGTGATTCTGTGATTTCAAGTGGGTGTTAATGGGAAACGAGGGAATAGTACAGCTTTGAGTACGCAAATAAAGCATTGCAAAGGGACTTGTCTCTTGTCTTCATCCTGCGTTCTCCACTAAAGAGAAAGGTAAAGAATAAACAGTCATCATTGTCACACATGCTCAGGTGCTTTAGTCACCAGTGGTGAAAACTAAACCATCAGGAAATGAGTTACTTCTTTCACCCTTCTTGACTGAGTTAAAGTGTGTCAGTCAGGACTACCTCACCACAGCTATGGCTGCTTTTGGAGCTTGAAGACAAGGACTATCACAGTCACCACCCAAGGGATGGCCCCTCTACTACTCATAAGTGTTCTGTTTTGTTTTTCTGACGCTATCTTTCAATATTAGAGCTCTGTTAGCCTCAGAAGGGTGAGATAGTAAATCCCTGATACCCTCTGCAAATAGAAGCCCAGCAGCATATTCTTAGCAGATGTTATGAATTATAACAAGTTGCACTGCTATTTTCTTTGGGTACTTGCCAAAGTAACCTCAAGGCATCCCCACCAATAAGCTGGCATTTAGAAAAGCACTTTAAAACACAGTCACAGCTGGATAATCTATTTGCAAATATTCTTCCTTCCATTCCTGACCCATCAGTGGGATTAGCTGCCAAACTATTAACTGCCTTAGCACCATCTGTGCTCAGGTTCCATTAGTAACCTAAGTGTTTCAGGACATCCCAGTCCTGCACAAGCTATGCCCAGTTACTGCTTGCTGATACATCAGTCCAGCTAAACAAGCCTGGAAAATGCAACAGGTAACCAAACACTCTCAGAGCAAATTAACCTCTACAAAAACCAGGCATGTCAGGAATAAATCAGCCTCTACATAAACAGGTACTTCAGCTTCTATCCCACCAGAGTTAACTACTGACAAATAGAGGGAAAAGCTCAGGTCAGGCCACAGCTGCTTTGCACAAGTTGCTGAAAAATAGGCCTTTACCTTGCTTGCTGACAGACACTGCAAATCCAAGCCTTCTCCTTCTTCTGGTAAGTGCTGCAACTCTTGCAGATGTTGTACTTGCAGTCTTGGCACTGTCGCTTGCTGTTGATAAGAAATGTGAAAGGGGAACAGCAGCGAATGCAGCAGTGCTCATTGAACTTCTGCTGCTTGGAAAGGATGCTGCACTTGTTACCCTCTTCATCCAACTTCTGCTTCATTTCACTGGAATGAAAAGAACAAAAACATAATCAAGATTTCAATGGGAAATCTTTATCCTCTTTCCACATATTCATGTTGTACATACTTCTCAAGTAACTTTTGCAGATGTGATATGAATATGAAAAATGCATATTCTAAATTTAGAATGGGAAAGCAAAAATTCCTATGTTCCCTTAAGCCACCCATGGCCAACCTACTTAAACTCTCCCTGATTCACAAACCAGGGCAAAATTTACTCAGTTCCAGAGAGACAACCCTAAGGAAAGCCAGGTTGCTGCTCCAGGCACTCAGCTGTGCCAAGGCACAGAAGCCACATGAAAATTCAGTGCTGCTCTCAGAACCCTTTACAAATCAAAAAGCAGTTTATGGAAGTCAAAAAAAGCTTGGTGCATAGTAATAATAAAATCCTTCCAACCAACAGTTTTGAAAACAAAAACTTTGTTTTGTTCTGACCCATAGGGTCATATTATTCATAACAGCTCAAATCTGTCAAGCAACATTAATGATATCCTTCATTTCAGAGAGATTTGGGTTCTCTACTAGTTAGGACCAATATTAAGATTCCTGTTAACTGTGAAAGTGTTTGCAGGCACTCTGTATAAAGTTTCCTGTTTTCCAGCAGAAGAGCTCATTCATTTAAAAAAACTGAAATTGTGTATGCATGGTATTAAGTAAATTGCTATCTCCCATTTTACAGTGCTTTTGATATTTACAAATTAGGCAATATATTCCACGACAGCAGTAATAAAAAAGCATGTAGAGGGAAGAGTTGTGAAGGCAGGCAAATCTGCAAACTCATCACACATTTTGTACAGTTGACATGTACAACTAGTCATAGATGTAACCCTATGAAAAGAATAAATAAGAATCAATGAAAAACAAGTAAAACAAAAGCTTTTAACACAGTGTGCACGTACTTACATTCATCCTCTCTATTTCTCAGAATTAGTGGTACCTTACCATTTCCAATTGCTGATAAAAAACACTTATAATATTAGAGTAACACAAAAGTCTAAACAAAATTTAGAGGTTCCACAAAACAGACTAAGCTGCAAGAATACTTATTCATGACATGCTGACTTACTCTTATATATATTAATGTTTAAATATCTTGCTACAGGAAAAAAAGAACACACTTATTGTATTCTTATTCAGGAACTCAACCAAGAACATCTATGAAAATAATTTTGAGCCAAGACTGGAATTTTAAAAAGAATCACAATACTGGGCTATATATCACCTTATTTGCCACTTCTGCCTCAGATTCATAACTCAAAATAAAACCAGCCTAGTTTATGAAAATCTGACAGGTCAATTATAAACCGCAAATCTAAAAGACAAGTAAGGCAGTGATCTAAACCATATAATTTTTGAACTTGCACATACAACATATTTAAGTGTATTCCCAATATATGCCTTTTAATAAATTTAAAATTTGAAAACAATGTGTGTTTCTGCTGCTCACACCCTGTACAAGGGTTTGACTAAATTAGACTAGGTGCTCAAACAGATACTCTTTGCAGTTTCAAGTAAATAATCTTTATGATTTTTTTTCTGTCTAGATGGAAAAAAATGCTTGTTCCGCCACATTTTTACAGAATGTGCAAGATGCAAAAGGTAAGAGATTATCATGTAGATAGGAAATGCCTGAATTAGGCAAGTCAAACTGGCTTCCTCGGGTAACCTGATGGAATGATCCCAGAGATTCAATGGGATGACTAGTTTATCTTAATCTCCATTATTCCCTCCTACCATGGTACTACATGGGCAATGTTTTGAGTGGAACAAGAGAGCAAGTGAATTGTCTCCACGCTGCTCCTCCACCCACAGCATGCATGCTACTCTGCAGCAATGGGGTGAGACACAGCACTGTTTCTGCACAGAAGGTCAGGCAGGAACCCCAGATCCCAGGACAAAAGCTGGTGAAGGTGAGGGCTGTATGATTCAAGGAGGAAATCTGGTATGGAAAAGCGTTCAGTAGCCCAAGATGCTGCAATCTTTGCTTCAGGATGGAGACCCCAGGCAGCAGATGATGGCCTTCCCATAAAACGAGACCAGCTAAGGAGTCAGGGTCAGGGAGAGTGATGAAAGAAGAGATTTTTGTCCTTATGAAGTTCTATTATCTCCCAGAATTAATAACGCCAATGCTTGGTAGTATCACAGCCCACACACTCAACACTGTCATGCTCAGTGGCATTTTGAACCCTTATTAGGGCTCTGATGCATGATAGCAAGATAAACCACAGAGCCAAAGCCACCAATTAAAGCTCAACAATAATGCTAACAATATAAAACCAGGCAGTTTTGTTCACAAAAGAGCTAATAAAGCCTGATACCTAGAAAAAGCTGAGCACACACTGAAATCTTTTCATCAGAACAGGCATTAATTACATCTCTCTCCTCTATCTGGCTGCCAGTATTCATTACAGTGGTAGAACTCAATATCATTAAGGCATCTGCCTCAGCGTTAAATAGGACTAAAATTGGCCAATGGATTAAAAAAGTAAATAGGATAAGGTTGGACAGCCTGTCAGAGAGAGAGCATGACAGAAAAAGCCTCATTTCCACAGGAAACCAGGCAGAACAGAAAAGAAAGCAATGCACATCTCTCTGACAGCTGTAACAAATTAAGGTTCTCATGCACTGCCTGCCAAAGGCTATTCTATAAGGAGTCAAATGGCAAAAGGGATTGTCAACTGGACTTGTAATTTGAAGCCAAAAGGCTCCTCTCCACACTCTTTCCTTGGAAGCAAAACACAGGTTTCATATGAAAGAGAGATGCTGCATGACTCTAGTGAGCAATTCAACCTGTCTGATTTGAGGAAAATTAGCTGAAAAGTAGGCACTGGTTTACTCTCACTCAGCAATACCAAGAAAACCTTACTTGAATGTAACTCCAGCTGGACTGTCACCCTGAGGGGACGATTAATGTGGTCATCAATATTGATACACTGAGAAACTTTGTTGCACTGAAATTCGGGAGGTACAAGCTGAGCCTCAAGGCATCCCAAATTAAAAATCTCAGGCTTTACTTTCAGGACGTTCATATTGTTTGGTGCAAGAAGATTGTCAGAATGTTCTAAGGAAAGGGCAGGCAGCCAACAACAACTGATGGTCTCATGAAGTGAAACTGGCTTCCAAAAAGACAACAGCCACCTGCGCAGGAGCTATTTCTAAGAAGATCAAACTGCCCAGTCATTGCAAATATTTCCCCTTCCTCCTCATGCAACAGTTTCCCCCAACAAAACCCAGCTGAGGGGGATGGGACAGAGAATAGAGGAAGAATGCCTCTCTCTCTCTGAATGTTGCGCTCGTGAGTGCTTATTTCCCCAAGGAGGGAAGGTAATGTATTCAGAGATGTATACACAGAATATGTGTGCAAATAAAACAAGCAACAAAATACATCTGCACCAAAAAAATGTGCATGTTGAGGTAAGCACAGAACAGTGGGAACGACAAATTACAGAATTCATTCAGAAGTCACAACTGATGGGGCTCAGCTATAATGGTTATGTCTAACATAGTAATAAGCACCTGTGGGGAAGAGAACTCATGCTGTGTGAATGAATCTCAGATTGGGTTTCATTTTCTTTCTCGAGTGGTTGCATTTCACCGATTGCTGACAAGTACGAAAGAAGCAAAAAATACTCAATAGATATCCAACATGTCTACCACCAAAACCAATTCTGTCAAAGAACATTTTATGAGTTCCAAGTTCCAAATAAGTTCAAAAATATGCAGATGCATATTATATTTTTCTAGAAGCTTTTATCAATGAATTTACACAGTTTGCATCAAAAAAGATGTAATTAATTTCAGTCAATGCTTTGGGTGATAGACTCCCGGCATGTAATCCCCACAAACAGTCAGATTAGGAACACTTTCCATCACAGTTTTGGATGTAGTTTTTTTCTATTATATTTTGAGGATGAATAGATGTCTTCCCCTCACCACCTACTATGATTTTGTGACTTTTTAAAACATAAATTAAATCACTTCCATTGGTATTGTTTATTTCTTCTTAATGTCTGGCAGGTTTAAGCATAATTCTTCAATGTTTGCCTGAACAATGCCTTCTCCTCTAATAATTTTTTTTAAACCAATTGGTATATTACACCTCCTAAACAGAAATATAAGCTTTTTTGAGAAAAAAGCATTTTTGGTATGCTTCCCACCAAGAGGCATTACTGTGATTAAATACTCAAGGGGTGAGCCAGGTGGAGCTTTAACCTCAAGCTGCAAGGTCAACAGTAATATACACACTGACAACTTGCCAGAATAAGACAATACTGTGAAGTTAAAAAAACAAAACCAATGATGAGTTTTAAAAAAGGTTAAAAACCACATTACTAAATGTGTAAATTTAGGGTGACTGAATTCTAAACCCCTAGGTGCAGCAAGGAAAGGAGTCCATAAAACAGGCAATTGGATTACAACACAAAGCTAAAAAAATCCCCTGTTTTTCATTTAACAAAGAGAACAGTTCCTGGTGAAAACCTGATAGCTGGCTTCAGCTCCAAGGCAGAGTCTGTATAAGCAAGTCTGTCTGTCAGGCTCCCCAAAATGCAGCTCTCTGCTCTTCCCTAAGTGCTTCTCTGAGCCAAGTTATTGGGCTGTACCATCTTACTCTTGTCTCACACCAGTTTCCATTTCAGGAGTTTAAACCTGGCAGCTTAAAGGCAAAGTCCAGCTGGATTGGTTCCCGTTTGCTCTGCTCCCTTTTTAAGTGAT